ACAGAGCGTCCTGTTCCTCCCGCTTGGCTTCTGGACGTTAACGGGAGAGGGATAACCGATAGACATAAAGCACAGTGAGTCAGCAAGACTCCGAGCTTTTGTGATTCAGAAAGCTCTCACATATGCAGAGGGATGCAGAGCAGAGGTTTGTGAAGGCAGCTAGAACACGTACAGTATTCCTGCCCACATGGAAACGAAACCCCCTCACTGCTTCTGTCATTATTCACCAATACTGAGAAGACCTGCGTGTGTCCAAATGAGCTTCAGTATCAACTTAAAGGGGACATATTATGGAAAACCAAAGTTTTTAATCATTTGGTTATGTACATTTGGGACTGTGGAGGGTCTATCAGCAGGCAAAGCGTGAAAAAAAATGACTCTGATAACAACTTAATGGTTAGGACACAGACCTGTGGGTTACAGATGCTAATGCTAATGTGGGATCGGACAAAAAAAAGGATCTGGATTCTGGATCTTCATTTTCCCCTGTTGGCCGATTCGCAGTTTTTTTGCAAATATCGGTCCAGATATCGGATCGGGACCAGCCTTGTCCAGTATTTCCCAAACCTGGTCATTAAACGTCCAGCTCAGTTTATTTAAATGGGACATGTTTTGCAAAACCAAGTTTTTAATCATTTGATTATGTACATTTGGGACTGTGGAGGGCCTATCAGCAGGCAAAGTGTGAAAAAAAAATGACTCGGTCATGTTTTTGTGGGCCGCCTCAGTCTGAATCCAGGAGATAAATCAGGAGGTTTCAGGAGTGGGTAGTTTCTGACGTCATTAGCTCTAGCTCATTATAATATTCCAGCCTTTCACCTGCATGTTGCCCCCCCCCCCTCAGCTTACTCCCCTATCTGTGGCAGACGGCGTGGTAGGGTGAGCGTTAGCATGGTAGCGTTAGCATGGTAGCGTTAGCATGGTAGCGTCAGCATGGTAGCGTTAGCATGGTGGCGTTAGCATGGTAGCGTTAGCGTGCCGACGTGGGCACACCTCCCGGAAGAAGTGGGTGGATTGCCTGTGTCTCATTTGCATTTAAAGAGACAGGCACTCCAAAGCGAGCGCTCTGAACGGGGCTGTTTTGGGTTAGGGTTAGGGTTAGGGTTAGGGTTAGGCAGGGGGACTGAACTGCTATTGGGCTTCATCCTTATGGGATTTTGACCAAAGCTTGTCACAGACATTACATTAGGACACCAGGGAACTAGCTTAACTTGTTGAAATAGGGTATAAAATGTCTCCTTTACATCAGAACCATTTACCCAAAACTAAAATCTTGGATACAGACGTCGGCTTTCATGATCTGTTCTCCAAAAATACCCACAGAGCTCGCCGTGTTTTCACTCTAATCCAGAGAAAAGAAAAACTCGGTCTTTCAGCAAACTGTAACATAAATAAGAAGAAGTGTGTGCGCGTGCTGGTGCAGAAGACTGGCGCTAAATGGGGAAAAATATCAATCTCACCTCAGGCCGAACGTGTGAGACTGCTCATAGTGGAACAGGGAATGGATCTTCACATCTGAATTCACAGCGATCAGCCTGTCGATCAGATCCTGCGGAGCACAATGAGAGGGGAGCGCCTCAGTTAAAGAGCAAAATAAAAACAGCCAGGAGAGGTGCGGCGTGTCAGGTGGAAAATGAACATGGGCCTCAGAGTAATGGGGGTTTAGTTGGAGGGTCTCGGTGAAGTCGAGCAGAAGTGTGTGTGTGGTGGTTCAGGCTGAGATAGAAGGAGCAAATACGCCCCCATATGGCTGAGAGGGGAACTGCTTGAGTCTGGACTAGGGTTGTCACGATACTAAAATTTTCAGCTCGATACCGATACTCAGGAAAATACTCGATACCATTTTGGATACCACAAGGATAAAAACAAAGACCCCAAAATTTAACTGAATTTTGACAGGTTAGTGTCTTTCATTTCAAACTGACCTGTAACTGATGTTATTGTGACTGGTGGCCCACATTAATAACCCTAACCCTGACCCTAACCCTAACCCTGACCCTGACCCTAACCCTCCAGCCTTCATAATTGTGAGAAATAAATATTTTTTGGTTAAACTTGTTTGGACTTATTCTACAAACCTATTCAACATTAAACTATTTTAACATAACATTATGGATAGAGTTTAATTCAGTGTACGAAAGATTCATTTCACTATTTTTAAATTAATGTCTATATTGCCATGAGGCATTACCATTTTCTTACCTGGGATCTCCCTATTGGTGACTTGGATGTGGGCGGAGTTGGATATGTACTTGATTAATGGTAGCACGTTATTGTTAGCCATTAGCCAAAGCTAGCAGTTCAAGGCTAAGGTCTTGTTAATGACCATAAACAACGTAAAAAAAATACATAAATAAATCATCGATACTTTTGAAAATGAGTATCGTATCCGGATACAACATTTTAGCATCGATACTTTTTTGAGTATCGATACTTTTGACAACCCTAGTCTGGACTGGACTCACAGGGATGGAGGTTGGAGTTTCCCTCAGGCTGTACGCGCTCTTATTGGCTAAGGGCTGTAGGCCCAAAAGCTCCACCACGGATTGGGAAGAGGACAGGAGGTTGACCAAAGACAAGAAGGGCTGAGGAGAAGAAAAAAGCCAATAATTAAAAGAACTATGGTAGAAGATATAAGCAGCACATAAGCCTATAAGACCTCCAGGAAAATCCTGTTCTTTTTAACATGTTACATATAAATCTCCAAGACAGAAAAAAGTCAAACCGAGTCCACTTTTTATTTGTAAACGTCACATCCAATGAATTTAAACTAAAAGTAAAGCAGGCACATTGAAAATAATGCAGGAACCCTGTACATCCCTAACATTTATGCATTTATTTATTAGCTTAGGTTGTTATATAATTATCATAAATGTTTTCTGAGCTACATGACAGTTTTCATTTCTTTTCTCTTCCGAATGCCAGCAGTGAGTTATTTTCCATTAAAAAAATATCTGGGGGGATTTTTTTATTTTTTAATTAACCAAATGTTTTTACTAATTTACTTCATCAGTTTCTGCATAGCCTGAAATTAAAAATGCACCACCCTCTGGATTCATTGAAGACAAAAATAGAACAGATTTGTCTTTTTATTCACTTTCTTGGGTTAATTATTTTAATCAAGTCTATCAGATACTGAATAATCATAAGAATTTAAGCCCTTTAAATGGCAGTTTGGATACACGATGATGATATTTCTGATGAAAAAATAATTACTTTCCATTAAACAAATGATCAAACATTGCCGAAAATCTATGAACACGCTCCCACTTAATGAGATGATGCGTTCACACACATCTGAGCAGAAATGTGATACAGCCTGCAAGATCCCAGCCCACTGAAGTCATCCTACTTTCATTATTTATGCCTGAAATCAACTCCACACACACACACACACACACACACACACACACACACACACACACACTCACATTAGCCAGTTTTTTCAGATCTGTAACCATCCTCTTCATCAAAATATAGAAATGTATCTAAATAAATATACATACACATAGATAGATAGATAGATAGATAGATAGATAGATAGATAGATAGATAGATA